CCTTAGGTGGATCAGTGGTGGGTCAACCATTGATCCCATCAATTTTAATTTGATGCTAATTTTCCTTCACAATCTTTCGTCAGATGATTATGTATGATTAAAGGATGTCGGAAGTCAGAGCTCACCGAGACTTTTTAGCTTTTGTGAAGGGTTTGACTAGTCTACTTCGACATCTGTAGGGAAGTCTCTGGGGGAAGAAAAAAATGGGTGGATCCACAACCTCAGTTTATATTGATTTACCTATAAGGCACGACACTCCATCTTTAATGAGAGGCCATAATCATTTGATGGCAAAATTTAGCAGATGTGTGACCACGCTCACCCATGAAATGGAGGCCCTCTTCTTTAATGAGCTATTTCAGATAGAGTTGTTGTTGGAGTCTACGAGGATAAGGGAGAGAGTGGAGGCCACAGTGGCGAAGAGGCTGGAGTAACTATGGTGCACGACACATCAATGTGACAGACAACCTATAGTAGAAGAGGAGGAGTAACTGGTGGATGAGTAGTTTTATTCTTTTATGTATTATTTATTTATTTCTTCTCTTAGAAAATGATCTATATTACATTAATTCTATAGGCACTCTTATAATGGATGATTTACTTAGATTGATTGTTATGCTTTTTATAATTTTATTCATTGAATATTTTTTTTGTGTTCAATTTCACGTTACGAGATTTCATGACTACACACACACTTTTTTGTACATGTTTTTTGTTGTATTACTAGCAACTATTTCATTCGATAAGTATCAATCAAAATAATTAAAAGTCAGAAGCATAAATGACAACTCTTTTTGCCACAATTTCATTCAATTTTTTTTCCAGCAGAAATAACAACTTACAGTCTATCATTAAATTCAAGAGCATGATTATCGAGAGAACCAATGAGTTATGACTGAGAAGTCCACATCTTATTCAATTGAATTTATTTTTGGTCGAAATGTCAATCATTAGTCCGTTGAAAAATGTTAATGGATGAATTTATTTCGTCTAAAATGCATTTTAAATCAATGATTTTTTTGCTGACAATTATTTGCTACAATTTTGTCCTACGAAAGTTACTAGTAAAAAAAAATCTTTAACATTCAATTGGATGCACGATTACTCAATTTTGGCCCTCTAATCATTATAACTTTCAATTGACTTTAAGGTTATTTCATAGCGCTTACGAATGTAGTTGTCTATAAGACCAATGCATGTCAACTATGCATGCTGAGTTTATAAGGTCGATGCATGTTGTCAATATATGTCATTAATGCACATAATTGGCTATTAGGTTGATATTATACGACATCAATAATTACATTTGCCTTTAAAATCTATGCACGTCATTAACATATATTGTCACTTATAAGGCTAATGCACATTGTCGATACCGATGTTGATGCAATGATGATTCATGACATCACATTTAAGCCTGATATATATCGTTGATGCATGCCTTTGCTTATACCACTAATTCACAACATTGATAGATGCCATTGCTTTACAAGTACATGCAAGTCGCTGACTCCAACGCAACACTAGCTGACTCATCACCCATTATCATAGATAGAGTTGGCACTTTTGATCGCTGATAGGACTGAAGCATGCCATACATGCCATAATTACATTGAACTTTTTGTTCCCTTTGCTCATTTTCTCAAATAATAATGACAACATATGCTACAAATGGTCTATTGGATAGAAATTCAATGTCTCAAGATTTCTCAGGCTTTCACAAGTCAATTCATTTTACATATTTAATGTTTACTATAATATGCCAACACTTTTCTCAATTATGGGAAATGTTATTATTTGTAATTTAAGACATCTACAATTATATTCATTATATTTGGTCTATGTCTTATAATTCTTTTCTCTTATTAAATTTCTAAATAAAAATTCTAGTATTTTCTCTCTCGCAACGGATTTTCTATCTGCGTTTACGCTGATTCTTGCAAAAAACTAAGATATCACTCTCTCAACCAAGTTCCATGAATTATCTTGCATGTAAGAATGCTGAAAACAAATTATTCATCATTCATTTGCTTTCCTAAAATAATTTCAATAGCTTGAATTGTGTAGCTTGTACACATAAAGGATACACATATTTTCTATTAGTGAAGCAAAAGTTTTAATTTAATTCATTATAATGACACACTTCTTACCTATAAATACTTAATTTAGGAAACCATCAACTCTCAATTCTTCCGAGTAACTTATTATTATCAAACTACATAAGAAGTCATAGGTGAGTTATTATTGTCATAGTGATGGAGTAATAGTCCTCATAGCACTATATATTGACTTCAACTCAATATACACCATGACATTAAACAAAAAAACTAACATTTTAACATATGGTTTTGGGCAAACCATGTTGGTGCATGACTCTGTTCTCTCACCATGGATTGTTTCGTTATCATCTATTGTCAAATTTCTTTTATGAGCTCAACATTTCCCTTAAATCAGACAAATCACATAATAAAAATAGAGAATAATACTAATTTGTTATGACCAAAAAAGATAAAGACGTAATGATTCTATGTTTTCAACAATGGTACAATATATCAATCAATTTACATTATAATTTAATCAGACAACCATAGTCCCCGTTTTGGGGCAGCTTCTTTGGTGCGATGTGTTTTGAAAACACACCCAAGTTCATTTGAATAAACGGCGTTTTGACAGTTTTTTCAAAAAGCCGCGTTTTCAAACCACTGAAATCAACATTTTCACACAATTCCTGGCTAGATGCGGTAGTAACTTTCTAGCTACGATATATTATTTTTTTTTAAACTATAATAATCATCATAACTTATTAATGATCAGATTATTTTTCATCAACTTATTAATATGCTGCAGCTGTCCCAAACAGATCCCTAATTAACAAAATTGACAAAAAAATTCATAATTAAATGAGTTTATTCTAGACTTTGAATTGCTCGTAATCACCAAAAATGTGACTCATTTACTATTTGACATGTTTATTTTCTAAAATAGGAACAGACACACCCAACATTTTAATTTTCATTATTACATCGGTAGGTTTTGTAATAAATGAAGCCTTAAAACTCTATTATACCCTTTTTACATAAATATAACTATATAAGCCCATGCAAACGGGAAGAAGACGCTTCTCTTATTTTTTCCATTTTATTTCCAACCAGTCTCCCCTTTTTCCCCTCTCTGTGCGAGATCAGCCTACTGCTTCGCGCGACGAATCCTGACGATTCCTTCAAGGCTCAATCTATCGCTGTTTTCAGGTAATCACTCCAAGTTATCTTTCTCTCTTGAACCCCCAAAACCCTATTTCTACTTTCATTTTTCGCGATCTTTTTCCGATGAGTTATTATTGTCGATCTCAAGCTCAATTGAGGATACCGTATTATATCGTTATCATTCGGTTGATTAATAGCGCAGGCAGATTTCTTTGATTAGCAGAACACCTGTTTTCCTGTCCCGCTTCTCGGTGGATTTTCGTTTTGGAAGCGAGGGTTTTGGTATTGGGAGATTCTATGTAAATTGTGGTTTAGGATGGAAGAATAACGTGGCGTTGATCCGAACTTGGTTTGCTTGGCCTGTGTTGGTGGGAATTTCGTAAATTTGTTATTTTCCCGAGGAGGAAAAAAGCCTTCTTGTGCGTGCATCTGGCTCTGGTTTTTTCTTTGAAACGTTAGGGAATTGTGCATCTTTTGGGACCCTTGATTCTGTAAAGACCAGGAGCTATGTTTATCTTTAAACTGCAGGCATCATTAAGTAGGGGCTAGAAAGCGGAAACTTTCTAATTAAGTATTGAGAGGACATGGTTCCTTTACCATTATTTCAAATATTTATGAGTTATTTATCATAATGTTTTGTTTGTGTGCTTTGAGCATGCACGTGTGTGCGTATGCGTGCTTAGGTGGGTGTAATTGAGTCTAGCGGTCTCCATCTCGGTTCGGTAAATTGCTTAGATGTAGGCCTAATTTAAATTGCTTAGATGTAGGCCTAGTTTTTCTGTGCGGACTCTTGACGTAGCTCTACGTGCCACAGAGGTTATTCCTGAGTTATTTTTAGGTTATTTTTGGATCATTTTCAATAATCCCGAAATAACGCAGAAATAACCCGCGGTCTTTATTTTTGTGTTATTTCTGGGTTATTTCGGGATTATTGAAAATGACCCAGAAATAAATTGAAAAAAACTCAGGAATAACCTCCGCGGCACGTACAACTACGTCAGGAGTCCGGACAGAAAATGCGCTCCAGATGCAGAGCCATATGATTAAACGTGTTGAGGCAGTTATGAAGCAACTTGTTGGCTCATGAGCTGTATTGTTTAGATAATCTTTGCATAAAATATGTATAAAAAAATATTAGAATTCATGGGGTTAGTAACAAAGTTATAAAAAACTATGCATAGTTACCTTCTGCCTCTCTCCTATTTCCGCATTTATCATACTTGTTTCTCTTTCTTTTCATGATTCCATTTCAATTCACATGCGTTTTCTCTATTCCATAAGAAGTAGGGGCAGTTTGAATGTTGAATGAAGTTTAAGCTTGTTCTTGTTTAATTTGTCAAGTTATAGCTCAAGTGTACTGGAGCTCTTGTAGGTGTTTGTATTTGTATCATGGTTTTATATTTTTTTTAGTTATTTTATATCACCAATTGATGTCATGTTAAAGAGATTAATTTTTGCTCTTTATTGATTGTCATTTTAGCTAATGGATTTAAACATGTGCTTTTGTAGCAACATTTATTATCCCTTTTTTGATTGACATTATAGCTGTTGATGAATGAAATTAGCGCACCTCATGCTGTTAAAAGATAGTGAATAGGCCATCTATATATTTTGAAGGATTTTTATTCAGTCAAATAACTCATATATATCGATTGCTTTACAACTAATGCAAAGTTCGGTAGTAGATATGGAAAATGAAGTTGAATGATAATATTTGAGGGGTTTATTGAAGCATATTAGTTCTTTTGATTCATTTTTAGTAGATGTACTTAAAAGTTTTTTTTTTCCCTAAGTCTTTAGTTTTCCTCCGCTCTCTTATTATTTATATTTGTATTGTTGTCATTAATCTATTCGTTTTATTCTCCTAGAGACTTTCATTCCATACTCTCGAGCTTTCTTTCATCCGATGATCAGCTTTCATTGGAGGTTATACGAACTTGAGAAGAATTGGGTAACAAAAGCAACTATTGGAAGATTCCTATAAGGACTGTTATGACCATTCAAATTATTTAGAGCACTACATTTGGTGAGCATTCTCTCTATAAGGTTATTTTTTTTCTTGAGGCTTCGATTTTTCCCTCTAACATGCTCACCATGGCATTTTATTACTTCCATCAGATTTCTCTTTAAGCATTTTGCATGATTTTTTGATCTAAATGGCTAACCAAGGAAAGTCTCAGCAGCTTACATTCTTTGTTAAGAACAACTTCATAGAGGGAGAATTTTTTTCAATTGCTCACACTTTTACATGATACGAAAAAGATCATGTATTTATGCTATGTTGCCTTGGGTAGACATCCCATAGAGGAGTGCGTGGCACAATTCTCTCTTTCTAGATAGGTTGTAGTATAGTTTTTCATATATGTGAATTTTACTTGATCAAATTTTGACAAATTGCTTAAGTTTACATACATTAGAAGCATAAGGTAGTTACATTTCATTTTTATTTTATGTTATGAGCGAGCATGCAATAAGGATTTTATGTTTTTGCCAACAATTTATATTCAAAACCTTTATTCATGCATGTTTTTGTTAAATATAAGAACTTTGTGATTATTTTCTTCAAGGCCTTCATGAAAGCTTCACTTATTAATTCAAAAAATAATATCCAATATAAGATTATTAACCCATAGTTGCAGCATTTGAATTCAAAACTGTTCTTTTGCTCTAAGTTTTTTTTTATTCCAACTTATTGTCATTTATACAATAATTATTATTATTATTGGCAAAACTACAACATGAGGAGCCATTTATTCTTGAGCTACAAACATTATCTTAAAAATGGTAACTTATGGACATTGATAGAAAAAGACGGATTAGTTCTTGTTCTATATTAACTTTGTATTCATTCTAATCTTTGATTATCTTTGAGTAATCACAACTTATTATGCAATGAGTTACTTTACAACAATATCCTTATGCTGAGTAATTCTTCATGGAAAGGGGCCCATACAAGCTAACATGAAATATTAAGAAGGGACCTCTTTTTATCTCTATAATTTTATTACTTAAAAATCACCCGTAAGATAAATCCTCAATGGAAATGTCATTAAACCCACTAATCTAATTAAAGATCACAACTTTTTTGTGAGTTGCAGCGGGCATGACGGCGCAACTTCGTTTACATTGTAGCAAGTGAATTTAAGTTAACATAGAAAATTCTCTCTTCAAACTTTAGAAATAAACCCTTTGGACATTATCATAGGAAAATACCATTTATGTATTTGAATATAAGAGATGTACAAATAGTTCTCTTCATACGATACACATTTTTACAAACACTCAAGTAAGATTTTGCAGCTGATTTCATCGTATTGCAAACTTTTGCAAGATCATGTAATAAACTTTTGCACAATCACTTCTGTAGAGGTTTACACCAATTTCATTTTATTTTATTTAATTAGATGGAGGCGTGTTGCATGATGAGGGTAAATATTAAGTACTTTTTTGCCATTCTACTGAAGGATTGCACCATGGAAATTATTATCTTTTATGTTGGAAAATGCTACTGTCATTTAGTGGAGATATTTCATTACTAATGATTGTATTTTAGGGTCTTCATACAATGCATTACTCAGGACGTGTGAAAATCAACATGTTCTTTGTGGTTAGTGCTGTGAATTTAGCTTGAAGTTCGTTAATCGCTCGAATATTGATTCGAATTTTGGCTCAGGTTGAGATCAGATCGAAATAAACCAGCCGAGTTGCGAGCAAAAATTTTGGGTCAATTTTTTTAAGCCGAATTTGAGCCGACCCTAGCTCTTCTCGAAATCGAATTTTTAACAACATATGACTATGAATTTAGTGAATTTAGTTTGATGATTGTTAATTAGTCGAAAATTGATTCAAATTTTGGCTTGGATTGAGATTGGATCAAAATAAACGAGCCGAGCTAAGATCCAAAAATTTGGATCAATTTTTTTTTTTGAGCTGATTTTGAGACGACCTTGGCTTGACTCGAAATTGGATCGTTAAAAACCCTATTTCTGGATCCCAAAAATAGCTTTGAGGTTATTTGTTTGTTTAATAAATTTTCCTTGAATGTGAGTTTTTTTTTTCTTGTTTGACGCGCAAAGCTTAAAGGGTAACTAACAAAACCATGTCATTGTTGATTTGATTCTTATTTCTTTCTCTTTATTCAATCCATCTTTTCAAAGATTCCTTTTTCTCCACGACTTTGTTTGTCAATGTTGTTTCAACTTCTTTACCTTTCAAGAATATTACAATAATCTCAATTTTATCCGTGTTGGACTATAATTTGAACTCTATGGCTCCATTTTCATGTGCAATATATTTGTGGAGCTGTTATTTTGAAGCCTTCAATGGTACGATCATCCTTTTTTAATTTTTTTTTGTATCAAACATGGCATAACAACATTGCTCTAACAAACAATCAACACTATTATGCAAGCATATTACTGACCAAAGAGCCAAAGCTTAAATTGCTTATCAATTGTTGGTGGTAAGATGATTAATTTTTTGCTCAAATTTGTTATTCTCTTAATGCCACTGATTCACATGAATGCTTGATTACTTTCGTGCTTTTATGGCTACATATCTTGAAGTAAATTTTTTTATTGTCGAGGAATTTATCTGTTTTTTTACACTTGAATTAATCCTTAATCATTTGTTATTAATAATAAATAATTGCTTGTTTTAGACATTTTGTTCTAAAACCTTCACTGCATTCCTATTCATTGGTGCGCCTACTCTGTAATAAAGAAAATCATTAACATATAATTCATTTTATCTATTTACATTGGTTTGCAACTTTGCGTTCACATCTGAAAGGTTATACCCTGATATGCTTTGGCTCAGGTTTGATTTTTGTGACAAGGCTTCCTCAGACCTAGATGATGAATTCATTTTGAGGTTTAAATAACAAGTCATCTATTTCTTGATATCCTAGTTTTGCCTTCATCAGTTGGATTCATGTCATAATAGGCATGATTAAGCGCTTTGAGATGTAACCCATCTTTGGGGTTGTGCTGATTTTTTTGAAGCTCCAAAACCAAGAGATTCACGACATTTAGGCTTTGTTTTGGTCGTAAAAAAGCGAATAAAATGAAATGAAATCCAAAAATTTAGTTAGTTTGTAGGAACCTGCAACCATTGATTTGTTTTTCATCCTTTTATATTTCTTTTGCCTAAATATCTTTTTTTCAAGTAGACCACAATTAATGTGGAGGATAGTAGTTCTTGTCATTTTAGATCATGTATGAAATTTACTAACCAAATTGGTTTCATCTTCTTGTTGTTGGACATACCCTTGTGGTTGCTATTCATATGGTGAATGCCACCCCATTTTCTACATATCCACTTTGATGTCAGCAATGAAGTGTTGAAGGATGATTTGACTGAAAGTTTGGCACAACATTTTGATGTTAGGTTAAATTAAAAAGTTTGTTCTAATTTGTTTTAAACACGGATCATAGTTTTAAGTGGCACGTGAATCTGGTGAATTGCCTACCAATTTTGAAGATAAGGTATTTAGATTTAAATAGCACTCAAAAATGTTTGAATTTACTAGTATATTATGTTAATTTTCTATTTTATTGGTATACATCTTATTCTACATCTCTTATGAAAATTTCATTATGGTTTGGTAATGTTAACATTGTTGGGATATTTGTTAAATTTTTTAATTAACAATGTTAAGTTCATTCTATCTATCATCTTCATTACTTTATTTATTAGATTATTATTGTTTTGGTAAGATATCATTGCCGGTTAGAGCAAGATCAAAACCAATAGGCCTAGAATTGTTTGAAACATCTTGTGCAATAATGGGTCATTTAGTTTTGACAAATACATGATTAATTGACTTTTTCTTGCTTTGCTAATAATTAGAATTTGGTATTTATATAAGTTGTGATAATTCATGACTCTTACATTAGGTGATCATGACCTAGTGTGTCTTCGATCTGGCCCGGGAGATTATAATTATTAAGATGATCTGATAGAGTTATATTATTCTAACACACACAACAATCCATAATATTATCTAAACAATTAAAAGACACTAAACATGGACTTTATAATTTAGACCGAACTCACAGATTTAAATCACGTTTTATACAAAAGTTTTAATAGAGGACTTTAAAACATGCTACTAAATTTCCTTGGAACATATTTTCAATTGCTCTCTTTCTCTTGCATATAAATTTTCTCACGTTAGACATTCAACTATTAGGAGCTTTTCCTATAGAAATCTTTAAATAACATCTTAAGTTATTGATAGCAACACTTGTTCAGAAATTAGCAGAAACAAAAGTAAACTTTTATTAGCACTGAATTAGGGTTATAACAGAACACAAACTGAAAAAAATAATACGACACAATAAGAATATTCTCCAGGTAGGGTCGGAAGAGAAGACCTGAGAATGGTGGTGGCGTCGACAAGGTGGTTGTAGGGTAGTAGTGGTAAAGGTTATGGTAGAGTAGAAGTGGAAGGTGAGGGTGCAGGAGGTCGGTGATTGGGGATGAGGCTGACGGGATAGGTAGCTGTTGATGGGGCTTGGGAGAGGGTGGATAGCAAGTGGGAGTGCATGAAAAGGTCGAGAAGGTGCTAGTTGGTGGTTTGGAGGAACGAACAACAATGATTGCCGCAGTGGAAGGGATGGAAAGGTGCAGGTACATGGTCGAGAGGATTGAACAACAAGGGTGGTTGCAGGGAAGTGGAGGACGACGTGCTGGGTGGTGGCCGAGAGAGTTGGATAGCACACTGTGACAGAAAAAAGGGTCGGGGGCACGTTGTGACAAAAAAAGGGCGGGGGG